CTTTTTGGGCTATTGGTGCTTCTTTTGAGATGTGTTTCTTGAATTTATTTGCCCATTTACTTATTAGATAATTCTTTTGGTTAGTACTTAAATTTTGATTTTTTAAATTTTATTTTATTGTAAAGATGCTGTACAGATGGGTTACAGTTACATGAGTAAGGCAATGAGTACATTTCCTGTTGAGCATCATTACCCCTTCCCTTGCTGTCCTCCCACTATTCATTCCTTCCATCCCCAATTTTTAAAAATATATTCTGTATTTTCACCTGCTGTCAGATGAGTACCCGAACCAGATTCTCTTCTACTGTCAGTTTCTTGTTTAGCTTTTGCCGTGGTCCACTTTTATTGGTGTTGTGTGCAGGTGATAGCTTCTAGTAATCATACTTTTTTCCATTTTGACAATGGGTTTGTCATTAAAAATATTTTGTAGAATTAGTAGTTCTCACATTTCTGGGACTATAAAGTCAACCTTTATATACTTATGTAGTAAAATTAAAAAGAACAGTCACTGTTAGTTCTAAGATTCCCATTTATTAGCTTTCTATTACTCTGGTAGAAATGAAGCAGAAAGAGAAATTAAGTGGAGTTGTTAAGCTTGGACAAATGTACATTTTCCCCTACATCTGGCTTTGTAGAATGAGATTTTAGCCCATTTCTTTTACAAGAGTAATTCATGTATGACTCTTTTAATTGTTTTTATTGCTCAGAATCTATTCATGGGACAAGTTTTCTATATATGACTTTTCTGGTAATAAGATATGTTTCAGTTTTCAGTTCTTGCTTTCTCAGGAATAAATGCATGTGATTCAGCACAAGTACACTTTGCTTTGAAAACTCTTGGATGTCCTTTTAAGGCCTCATTTCTCAGGCTATAGAGAATTGGATTGAATGTTGGGGGCAGAACAGTACAAAAAAGCAGTGAACACAAAGTAGATGTAGAATCAGAATGTGGCTTCAGAAACTCAAAGATGCATCAGAGAGGAACAATACAACAACAGATAGATGAGGCAGAAAAGCAGAAAAGGCTCTGCCTCTGCCTTTATCAGATAACATCCTCAGAATGGTAGAGAATGTATGCAGGTAGCCAGGTCCCACTGAATTAAAGCAAAAAAAAAAGCCTCCAAGGGCACAAAGCCAGCAGCTCTCAGCTGGAAGAAGAGTGTTTCAGGAACTGGGGTACATCGCAGAATTGATGAATAGTATTTGTACCACAGAAGTGGATAGAGAACGTAGCAGTTGTACGTGTGACTCCAGAAATGGTTCCACCAGTCCACACGCCAATACCTCCTGAGCACAAGTACCAACATCCATGATAACCTTGTAGTGGAGGGGAAGACAGATAGTCATGTAGAAGTCCAAGGACATCATTGTGAGCATGCTATCAGTTATTAATTTATATATGCTAAATGACATCCTTGTCTCTCTGGGTAAACCGTACTTGGTCATGGTATACAATCCTTTTAATGGTCTAGTAGGTTCAGTTTACTGGAGCAGAAGGGGTTTCTAGTTTGCATGAAATTAGGCCAGATATCTATCTGACTGAAAGTGAGGAGTCTTGCCTATGGACCTTGTGTGACCTGAGGTGTTTCAAAATGTATGCAGGCCACCTCATTTTGCTGTGATCTGTAGTTGGATGGGAGTGTAAAATATACCAGATCAGAATATAAGTCTCAAAAGAATTACAGGTTTTCTACAAGGTGGCCTTGAAGGACCATGGAGGCCACTTGAGACTCTTCTCTTGGAACTCCCTAAAGCTGCATGTCCTAGTCTCCAACTCTCAGAGCGCTGTCGCACAGCTAGGCATGGCCCCACTCTCATCAAATGTTTCTGCTAGTACAGAACTCCCGGGACAATGATTCTATCACCGCATCAAATAAAAACGAGCCCAGGAAAGAATCTCATTTGAGAGAGAATTTCAAATTTATCATCTACTCTTCTGCTTTCACAGGCAAGTTGTCTTCCTCCTCTTCACTTTCCTTGTCTTCCTATTCATCCTCATCCGTCTCTTCTGGTTTATCACTTACCCTTGTGGTAGTTATTTAACCACACTTTTTGGAAAATATGCTATTTGGGATGGGTAGGAAGAAAGGAAATTAAAGATCTGATGGTGTTGTATGTGAGTGAGATATTAAAGGTTCGTTCTGGTTCTGGGTGTTTGTTAGTTCAGGTGTGTACAAACCAATTGTGTTAGCCTTTAGTTACAAGGAAATATTTGATGACTCACAGTATTTTTGCATTTTTAAAGCAAGGGATACATTTTCAGTTCCTAATAATAAAAAGTTTCATTGTGTTTAGTGTAATGACAGTTTTCAGATTCATATTATATGAAAGAAAAAAAAACCTTCTATTTGCCAAACAAGTCAAGGTGGGTGTTGGTGGCTCATACCTGTAATCCTCACTCAGGAGACTGAGATTTGTGGATCATGGTTTGAGGCCAGCCAGTGCAGGAAAGTCCATAAGACTCTTATCTCCAAATAATCCCCCAAAAGCTGGAAGTGGAGCTGTGGCTCAAGGGGTAGAGTGCTAGTTTTATTAAACAAGCAAACAAACAAACCATAAAACTGCTCATGGACAGTGTCCAGACCTAGAGTTCAAGCCTTAGGACCAGCATATGCATCAAAAAAGAAGTTAAAAGACTCAAAGTCTTTTATGTAGGAAGGAACAAAGGTTTCTTATGGCTTCATGGGACAGAGTGATAAGCATTCTATGGAGCAATAACTTTGCAACTATTTTGTTACTATTATATATCACACACAATGCTACATACTAAATGAGGAGAAAGACATTGAAAGGGCAGGAATTTGTCGATCACATGGTCATTATTTAGAGGTCAAAATAGGCATTGGTGACCATACTAGTTAAAGAGAGAGCAGCTGGACTTTAAAATAGATCTCCTCTGAGGGATATACTCCTAGATGTCAAATAGCATTATAGTCTTGTAAAATATTAGTGAAAATGTAGGTACATATCTGTTCCATTCTCTACCTTATCACTGACAGAAATCTGAATCAGTCTCTGTGCACTCTCTCTGTGCATCCTAAAGTAAGGTACGACTTTACTTAAAAACTTGAACAGTACTCTAGGTGGGTACAACTCTTTCATCATACCCGGCATAAAGATGAAATGTAGTTTTCCTTTTGAATATTACAAAGAGCTCAGGCTGTAGAAGTCTGTTTGGGACCAAAACAAGACAAAATATTTACAAATTTTGTTGACAACCTTAGAATTTAGAAGAGTTTATTTCTTTTTCTTCTTCTTCTTTTTTATTGGTCATGGGGTTTGAACTCTGGGTGCTGTCTTCAGCTCAAGGCTAGAGCTTTACCACTTGAGCCACAGCACCACTTCCAGTTTTCTGGTGATTAATTGGAGATAAGAGTCTCATGGACTTTCCTGACTGGGCTGGCTTTGAACCGTGATCCTCAGATCTCAGCCTCCTGAGTAGCCAGGATTACAGGCGTGAGCCACTGGAACCCAGCTGCTGCTGCTGTTTCCTTCCTTCCTTCCCTTTCTTCTTTCCTTCCTTTCCTCCTCTTCCTCCTTCTTCCAATTCTTTTTTCCTCTTCTTCTTCTTCTTCTTCTTCTTCTTCTTCTTCTTCTTCTTCTTCTTCTTCTTCTTCTCCTTCTTCTCCTTCTTCTCCTTCTTCTCCTT